AAACCAGTCTGTGATTCTATATTAGGGAAACTGTCTTCCCGGAAAGGTCTGTCAGGCATTGGAAGGGGCTGCCCAGAGAGGTGGTGAAGTAACGATCCCTGGAGGAATTTAGGAGATGTGTGGATGAGGCATTTAGGGACATGGTTTAGTGGTGGATTTGGCAGTGTTAACAGTTGGACTTGATGATCTTAAAGGTCTTTTCCAACCTGAATGATTTTATGATTCTATCATTTTCTTGGGAGACCCAAGGAAGCAGGTCAACTATGGGTTCAATCTCAGCTGCTCTTTGCTGACAGTGAGGAAAGCCAGCACTTTTTAAGCAGACGGGTGAACTGAGAAGCAAAGTTCCTCAGGCAGGAAGAGCTCACATCACGCTGGCCCTGTTGAGTCCTTTTCTAAATCTGGAAGCCGAGCACTGGTGGGCAGGTTCCACGTTGGGTTGCCAGCTGCCCTCCCACGCGTGGGCAGGTAGGGTGCGGATGTGGAAAACCGCCGACAGCGGGCTGCGTTTCGTTTTGGCAGGCAGCCTACCCGAGCCCCGAGGCAGGCGTGCCTGAGGAGCCCGGCGTGCAGCCCCAGCTGTGCCACGCAGCGCCGGCACCGTTGGTCATCTGTGGCACTGAGGACCCCAGCACGGCGTATCATTTTGGGAACTGTGGTGCCAGCCAGCACGTGTAACGCGGCTGTGTGGTGCTGTTTGGTGTTAGGTGCTGCTACGCCTGCAGGGGATTAGGTTAATCATTCACTTTCCTTCTGTAGCCCATGAGTATGATTCAAGAGGGCGATCTGTAACTTTTGAAACTGAGAGGATTAACTGATGTCTTCTCCTGTGGCTCAGACCCTGGCCTACCAGGAGGTACATCCTGTATCTGTCTGTAGAAGCAAAGCCCCGTTTGTCCAGGCATAGGGCTGATGCTTGGTGCAGGCTCTCAACGCTGTGGTTGCTATGGCTGCGCCATGGGAGCATCCTTCCCTTGCTCACCTCTCTGCACCCAGGGTGCTGAGCATCTCCGGGGAGTCTTCTGGTTCCCGGCCAGAGGTGGTAGCGTGGGCATGGGGGAGAAGGCAGGTGGCTGTGCCACAGGCAGGAACAACCTGCGGGCAGCACCGCGACTCACCCACAGCCAGAGTTGCTGCCATCACCATGGGCTGCAGAGGGGAAAATGATTTGCTGACCTAGTAGGCACCCTGTGCCCTGCTTTGCACCCCTGGTGCACCCCAGGGCCATCGCCTCGGAGGAAAGGGCACACATCCATCACCGCAGCAGTATCCACATGACACAGAAGCTGCAATTCCGAGGTTGGTATCAGACATCCAGCTGAGACGGAGGAAGGTTGACATCTCCTCTCTGCTCCCAGCCGTGGACCAAGCTGCCTACCTGCTGTGCAGGCAGAGGCAAGGGTCTTGCTCTAGTAAGCTCCTGGCCTGCAGAAGGACCCCTGTTCTTGCCTCACTTGTCCTCTCTGCTGTTGGCCATGGCCTGGAGCCGCCCCTGCGGTATTCGGGAGGTGGAAATCTGCCATGGTGGCTCGGCACCAGGCCTCATTATCCAGCCCCAGGGCCAGAAATAAAAGCCACATAGGTCTGGGGTGGATTCTGAAAACTTCGCTTGCTGCAGGAAACATTTAATGAGCTCTGGAAGCTGCTGAGAACAGGATGCTCTTGGGGTTTGAGTGGTGCGTGGCAGGGGCATTCCCACACATACATGTCCATCCATCTCTTCCTGCAGCCACAGAGCTGTTGCGCTTGGTGATAGGCATGTACTGATTCAGGATCTACCTGGGTAGAGTTAGGTCCTAAATCAGTAAATAGGGAGAATCCTAAATAGACCAAAGACGTGAGCACAGGCGTGGGCTGATGGCCTGACTGTACTTGGAGGGATGTGGAGGTCTGATGGGACTGTGTTGTTACTGCTGCCTGTGCTGGGCTCCCTGTTATCAGCCACAAATGTGGGTGTTTCAGGGAAATCATAGAATTCAGAGCTATGGGCTGGGTTTTTTCCATCCCTAAAGGCAAGAAGAGAGGACAAAACCTGAAGGCTGGAAAAAACCTGCAATCTAGAAATGCTGAAAGCTATGTTGCAGCTCACTCAGGCTGAAAATATAGGCAGTGCAGTCCTGCAGTTGCTTCTGTGCCCACTGGCTGGGGAGACAGGAGAGAGCAATCCACTGGGGGAGACGCTGCCTTGCCCTGGGCACTGCCCGGACAGGACCAGGAGGCTCTGGAGCTGCAAGCTGGGGGGGCTGGTGGTGGGTTAGCTGGCTACAGCTGAGCATTTCGGTGGTATTTCACACAGAAGATTCTGTTGTTGGCTCTGCTCCCACATGGCTGCCCCATGCTGGCTCCCCAGCCTGCTTGTGGTCCTGTCACAAGCAACTCTCCTTTCCTTCCTCCTCAGCTCTTGGCATTATTTTTTTTCTCTTGCTTTGGAGAGAACAATGCCTGAGGGCAAGGGAAGCTGTCTGGCTCCAGGCTGGCCTCCCTCTGCAGTTTAAGTGCCTCCTGAGCTTGTCTCGGGGGTTTGTTTCTCTGGGGTCCTGGATCCCAGTGGCAGTGGATCAGCACAAGCATAGAGAGCTCATGGAAATTTAGGCCCTTTTGGTTTTTCTTTAATTTTTCTGCTTGGACTTTACATTTCAAACTCAGTTTGTCTTACCTGGAGATTTCTTCTTAGATCCTGGGTGGGAGGAGGGTCCCAGTTGTGCCCTGCTCTGTGATGCTGATGCTCAGCCCTGGGGGCCTCCCTGCTGTGGTAGGCTTTGGGGGCCAAGTGTTCAGACAGGTAAAGCTTTCTCTGGCAAAACACAGCCCCTGAGACATTCTGTGCTCACTCTTAGGACTCTGCCTCCCTCCTGGGCATCCTCCACGCTGGGGTCCCATGGCCATGAAGTCCTGGTGGCTTTGCGCTCCCACCCAGGGTTCAGGCTGATGCTGTTCTCCACCACCACCCCAAGCCAAGCGTGCCCTGTGTTTTGCAGGTGAGACACAGGATCCAAGGCCATGCCCGTGCGGAGTGAAGAGCAACTGCACACTCACCCCAGCATTGCAGTCACCCTGCGGCTGCCGTCCCTGCCCTGTGCTGCAGCCCCAGCCCGGCCATGGAGAGCACAGGTGGGTGATGCTGAGCCCCCTGGGGTGCCAGGGTGAGGGTCCCAGCTGAATTAACCAGCCTCGTACCATCTGCCGCCTCCTACCTCTATTACCCTCTGATAAAAGACATGAGTATCCAAGGAGGATTCATTGCTGGGCAGAGCTTGCTCTTTGCAGGGTGTTAGATGCTGCTGAATAGTTGGGAAATGAGGCACGAAGCAACTGAGGGGTGGCCAACAGCTTTGCTGCAGAGGGGCACTTCGGAAGCACCAGGTTGGAATTTTAAACCGGTTTTATGTTTTCTTATATTTTTTTGTGCCCCCTTTTTTCCCTGCCTGTGTTTTATTTTCATGCTGTTTCACAAGGCAGTGTGGGTCTCCCGGCACCCTGAGGTCAGGATATCAACACTGAAACATTCTATGTCATTTCTAAGCCACTACTGTTTGTTGCTGGTAGGTTGAGACTGTTTTTAGATCAAAGTGGCTCTTGTTTGTGTTGGAACGAAGGCTTTGATGCTCTGCTCCCCATGAAGAAACTTCAGCGTATCAGAACTGCAGTCGCTTTGATTTAGAAGAAGAGGACAGTGTCTATATCAGTGCTCAGGAAAAGCTTCCCCTAGTAATTAAAAACATACACAAATGAAAAGAATAGGAAATTTGAAATAGTCCATTATTGCATAATTCCCTGGTGCAAAACCAGTGAACATAACAGTGAAATTGAAGAGCTTTACAAAGTCACCAGAGAGAAAACAAAAAGGGAGAAAATACAGATTTCTGTAGCAAAATTTTGACATTTCCCCAAATGATACTTCCAAAATGAGAAAAATCCCATTTCTGAGGACATTTTTGCACTGTAGTGTGGGTACGATGGCATGAACACACACACAGCTGTGCAGGCACACGCTGAATAATTTTGAACCCGTGTGTAGTTGTTTTCTAACACAACCTCAAGCAAAGCCACAGCAGTAAGTACTCCTCTGCAGGAAAAGCTGGAGTGGGATGAATCCTCTGCACAAGCATCATCAAAGTGATGCACGTGCCTGGTGTCAGCAAATGGGAGGACTGTATGGCTATTGGGATGAGCAAGGGATGTGCTCAGGAAAGGGCCATCCCCAGTATTTTAAAGTTTGCATTTCCCAGTCATGTATCATGCAGGGCTCATGATGCTGCCCCTGTGCACTGGTCACCACCTCATCAGACTCCTGGCACTCTAGTCTTGGGCTTGGAGAGGACAAGAATGGCTTGTCATGTGTCTGGCCAAGCTGCCTGCCCTGGAGCTGGTGACAAGGAGGCAGCAAGGGTGCTGTGAGGGGCAAAATGTTCCTTCTCTCTGCTGTGCATCACCAGTGGGGACGGTGGCAACTCTGGGGTGCCATGTCCACTCCCCTGCATGATGACCCTGGGCCCACGCACCCTCCAAAAGACACAGTAGAAGTGCAAAAAACGGTCTGTGTTTTTAATTCAAACCCAACCTGAGATGGTGTGTGGGTCTGCATGGGATGATGATGTCCCATCTCCTGCATGGTCATGTCTTGACAGTCCTCTGCCCGCAGGAGCACTCACCGGAGATGCCCCTGTTTGTCTGACCCTCCAGCTGAGCTGTAAGATTCTCCCTGTATATTCCTGTTTCCATTCCTGGTGATCTCAATCAGCCAGCTCCCAGACCACCTCCCCCAGTCACTGTTTCTTGTAAAGCCCAAAGCATCGCCTGCTCCACCGACCACAGCCAGCCCAGCTGGCTTTACCTCCTTCCAGAAGGATGTTTGGAGGCTGTGGTCCTTGAGCACAGCCCTTAGAGTGTCACACTGGTGCTTGCTCTGTGTCCGTAGGTAAGGATGAGTTCCCACCACTGTCCTCCTGCCATCTCCCTGGTGGTGGGGGAGAGCTGTGGCAGAAGAGGGTGTGGGGGGAATGAGCAAATTGAGGAGCAAAACTGGGCAGGAAAGGTGGTAATGACACCAATCCCAAAAGGCAATCCCCTGTGGCTGAGATAACTCGGTATGTGTCTGGAGCTCCCTTAGGACCGGGATAAACTGCTCCCTGCTTGCATCCTTGCCACACAGACGAGACCCACTCAGCCACTGCTGGCAACGGCCCGGATCCCAGTGGTGAGCAGGGAGGCGGGAACCCTCCACAGGAGAGGGCCCTGGAATACAGCTGCCACAAACATCGTAGATCCTCCCTGGATCAGTCGGTGTTCTGGCTGTGCCAGCCTACAACTAATAGCACCCAACTTCATACAATGCTCTTTTTTTAATACAAAGGAACTATAATTGTTTTGCCGATATGGAAAGAGAAGCCCAGTGTAAGAGGGGAGACAAACCCAGGACATGATGAAGTAAAGGGGCTTTGCAGCCTTCCCCACATGTTTTCAAGGCTGACATTTATTGTACATCTGTGATGGGTCAGCATGCATGGCCAGCCAGCTGTCATGAGAGATCACCCGCGACCACAAGCCCTCACCCCACATACAGGTCATACCCCAAACTGGGTCTGAGGATGTCAGACTTATTTTTGGCTGAGAGCCGGATGCAGTTTGGTTTTGACGCGTACGAGGCGTGTGTGGTGGTTACCAGGCAGAAGCAGGGACCTCGGGTCCCTGTCTGGGGCAGCAGAAGGTGCTCATGGCCCACGGGTGGGTGGTCGCACGTGGGGGAGAGGCTGCAAGGGGTCATGGGTGGCAGGCAGGAGGTGACATGCTCTACGTGGGTTTCCTGCAAGGGGTGAGCTGCCAGCAGACCTTGTTGCAAGAGTGCTCCTTGCGATGGGTATGAGGTTGAGGCCAAATCAGTGCTGTGCCAAAACACAGAGGTGTTTCTGCTCTTTCACGGTGCCAAGTTGCAGTTTAATTTTATTATCTTATGTATTTAATGTGGGATTATTTTTACTGAACAAGGGGAGAGAGGGGCTCTGCAGAGCTCATGCATGACCAGTTGTCTGCAAAGCTTCCACCACGTCCCTGCAGGAGCAATTTCCTCTCCAGTATGGCTCCAGAGGCTACCAATCCATGGGATGGCATTCTTGGGGTGGCTTGTCACTGGTTGCCGGTCTCCCAGGGGTGCTGGCCTGGCTGCTCATGTCCTCTTCATCTCCGCAGAGGTGGAGTCAGATATCCTGCGCCGCGTCCGCACGCTGCTGCGAGAACTGGATGGGCACCACCCCACCTGCCAGTGTGACCGAGGTAAGGTGGGCCCCACACAACTCCTGGGGGTTATCACCCAACGACCCCACACTGCCTCACTGGGGCATTGCTTGGCCCCCATCCCCTCGCTCAGGCAGTGCCAGGGTGAGGGGACACAGGGTGGCCTCAGCTCCCTGGCACTCTCTGCCCTTTTTAACCTGCTCTGAAGAATTGCTAAATCTCTGGCCACCTCCTGGTGTCTGCGGTGCACCAATCTCAGCAGCCTTCATCCCTCCCCTACGTGGCTGTTTCATCCTCTGCACCCTTCACACGCTCAAAGGTCCAGCGCTGAGGTGGGACAGCAAATGCCAGATTTGGTGATGCTGCTCCAAGCTCTGACACCAACTCACCACACAGCCCCATGCAACTCACTTATCACCTCTGGGCTGGAGTCTCCCCATCTCCCCCTGTGGAGGTAACACTTGCCACACACTGCTCAGCTTCCCACAGATGAGTCAGTTGCAATCCCTGTGTTACGGCTTTGGAGGATAAAACTCCAGCTGACCCAGCAACTGGACTGCTACAGCCTTATGAAACCTAATTAATTTTGAAACATTTATTTTACTTAAAGTGCACAAAATATTTTACAGTAAATTAAATTTTATTTTGTCTGGAATGAGCTTTGACATCTGCAGGACTGAGATGCTTTGTGGTCCTTGCTCTGAGCGTGAGCTGTTGGCAGCCAGTGTTAAGGTGCTGTGTTCTGGCACCAGTAGGAACCCCAATTCCTCGGGGCAGGAGGTAAAAGCAGGCAGTCATAAACAGAGGGAACAGGAAACAGACTTCATGTCCATTGCCCTGCCTTGCTTTCCTCCAGCCCCACATTCCTAGGATTTATAGAACCTTTTTCCAAAGGTTTCCTAAGCAGGAGACATCAATGCTTCATCCAGAATCAGGGCAGCTGCCTGACTTGTCCCTTGCAGAGCCACTGACTGAAGCAGAGGGCAGAGAAGCTGCTTTCGCCCTGACACTGATGTCAGCATAGCCTCTCAGTGGGTGATGCTTGCAGTGACAGTGCCCAGGTCTGCTGATTCCTCTGCCAAACACTGCTCCCGACCCAGCGCTGCTCTGCTCTGCAACCTGACCTCTCTCGCCTTTCGCTTCTCAGGGATGCTGCGATGGACCCTGCATAAAAAGATTGACCAGAATCCCAGTAACAGCTCCGTCTTGGTCAGGATCCTGGTGAAGGAGCTGGAAAGGGTGAGTGCCACCACATCTCGCGAGTGCCAGGCTTGGCCCTGCTGCAGGGCCCAGGGAGCAGAGAGATGGGGTCAGCTCCATCCCCAGAACTCTGCCTCCCTCCAGGGGCATCCCGGGCTGAGACAGCTGTGGTGTTTTTAGGGACCTTGAGCCTAGGTGCAGACCGTGGCTCATAGCTAAGTGGAAAACTCGGTGGCAGAGCTGTAGCTCATCCCTCCCCAGCTGACAGCTGCAGGGACCAGGGTTTGCCCCCAAAGTGACAGCGAGCCATGAGCAGGGCAGCGAACCTCCCCAGGGTCCTCGATGTCGCAGCAGCCAGAGGCAGCTGGCCTCTGCAGCTTGCAAGTAGCACAGTGCAAAACACTGACCACCCCCACATCTCCCTCATCCCACCCCAGCCAGCTGTAGTCACAGGTAGAGTGGAAATTTCTCCTCCATGTAACTCATTTCTACCTTAGGGGGTGTCAGAACAGAAACATCTCACCCAGTATCCTGTCCTCAGAGCATCAGATGGAAACTGTGATGGACTTTTTTGTTTCATTGATTTGTCTTGTCACTTTCTGGTCTTGTGTAAACCCTTAGCACCCGCAGCATCCTGGAGTGACTTCGTTTGTGGTTTGATGAGATGTCATGTGTAGAAGTATCACCTTTTCCTTATTCTGACCCTGCTGCATTTTACCAGCACCATCTCATTCGGAGCAGGGAGGAAAAGCCCATGTCCCCGGTCCACCGCCTCCTCCCCACCACAGTGAAGAGCCCCCACTAGTCATCTTTTGTGCAGAAACTTTCCTCTACCATTTTCTCTGCATCTTTGCTATTTCTCCTTTTGAGCTGGAAGGATGGAGCTGCCTCGCTCAGTGTTGCTCCTCTCCCGTGTCTCCAGTCAGTGGCTTTTCAGCGCCCTGGGGGGGCCATGCACCCTCTGCAGAGGCAGTCGCCTCCCTCCAACACTCCATATCACACCCTTGACCCACACCGGCCCAGCACAAACCCCTGTGCACACAGTGAAGCGCGGTGAGCATCCAGCAGTTACTCCTAATCCTGGTTTCCTGACTTTTAAGCAGCTCTGAGGCTATTTGCAGGCTGTCTCTCATGCTGTGGGAGTTTAGTTTCCACCGGTGCTCTGGGGAGGGATCTTATCAAGTGGCTTTTGCAAATCCAGATAGACAGGAAAACCCACATCACCCTTGGCTACGGAGGCAAGGGATTCCCCAGAGGTCTGCAAAAGCCCTATCAGCCCCTCTCATGGTACCTATTATCATTCTGCTACTCTCCCATTTCTTTGCCCAGGAGGGATGTCAGGCTGCCTGGTCTGTAATTCCTTTCACCTCCCTAAAGCTCTTCTTGGAAATCCCTGTCACTTCCCTCCCCTCCCCTCCACTCCCCCACACACCCCTGCCACCCTCGGTACTGCAGCAGCTCTGAGCAGTCAGTACGAACCACACATAATAATTTAGCAATTTCATGCTTGAGTTCCTCCAAGGCTCTGGGCAAATATCAGCTGGTCTCAGCAATTCAGTATTATTCATTTTATTGATAATTTCTAAAGCTTTGCTGCCATCAGTTCCGTTTAATTCCAGTTTAATTCCGTTTAATTCCAGAAAGGTGCTGGAAATATTTTTGGGATGGAAATAGCTTTCCCAGGTTTATCCAGGAGCATTCCCACTGCTGGAGCTGTTAGAGCCAGGCTGCAGGGAGAGGCCAGGGTTATGTTGGCCTGAGCATCTGTCTGGATGGATCCATCTGTGGCCCACTCTGGTCCCACACCCACCAAACTGTAAACCAGTCTTTTTCTAGAGGGTTCCCAGTGGTTTTATATATTCACATTAATTCTTTCAACAGAAAGGAGCTCCTTACTGAACTCAGTTAGAAACCTTTGCTTGCTCTCTCCCACCATGACTGATACATATGCACCTCACAGTTCTCAGCGTGCAAACCGCATTCCCATCGCAGCTCCTGGAGCCTTCGTGTCCCTCCAGCAGTCTCCAGCCCTGTGATGTGGTGATGGCCATGGCAGTGTTGCCCACCCCCCCACACCCTTCCCCAAGGCTTGGCTTGCATGAGACGTCCACCCAGCAGGACCTGTCTGCCCCAGGGTCATCCTGCCCATCCTGATGGCCTGGGGAGGGGACCCCAAACACCACCTCGACCTGGGGAGCATCACCCCTAAGCCAAGGCGAATGCCTGTGCCCTTCCTGTGTGCTGTGCAGCCAGGGGGGCTGTGGTGGCTCCCCCAGCTCTGCTCTCTGCTGCTGCCCATCCCTGCCAGGTGCTGCCTATGCTAACCATACCTTTTTGTCCCACAGGCAGAGCGAGGTGACTTCAGACATTACATCATCCCCTTGCTGCACACACTGATGTACACCTTGATAAAGGTAACCTACCGCTGGCTTGGCTGGGGCAAGATCCAGGGAAACCAGAAACCACAGGAGGGGCCATCTGAAGTCACTCAGCACCTATTCCTGTGCTGAAATAGCTCAGAACGTGCCCAGCAAAGCCCTGGGACTACCACGAGTGGACTCAACTGTGGATTTCCCGGTGTGATGTTTGACCGCTGAGGCACTGGCACCTGCAACATATATGGGCATGACAGGTCCTTCCAGCTGACCCCCTTTTCTGGAGGTGTTTAGGAGGTGTCTGATGGTGAAGGAAACCATAACCTGGCAAAAATGCATGCCCACAGCCATTCAGTGGGTATTGCTGGAGGTTTCCAAAACATCCTAGGGCCTGGTTCTGCATTTAGATCTGTATTGAATTTGGTGTAGCTCTGTGCCTGCCCATCCTGGGCTATGCTGTGGGGACAGCACCGCTGGGGATCACTGCCTGTGGGTCTCCTTAATGGTCCCTTTCTCACTCCAGGCTCCTTCCATCTCTGATGAGCTCTGCAGCAGAGTGTACGATTTCTGTAAGAAGCTGCTCACCCTGCCCAAGCCTTTCTGCACCATTGGTTTGGACTATGCTGTCAGGCTGAAGATGGAAAGGACAGCACCAGGTATGAGGGCTTCCCAGCTCTGCCCATGCATGGCATAGTAAACATCTTGGGTCCTCAAGGCCATGGCAGTGGGAGTTTTGAGGGATTTCCATACCAGAGCTGGTTTTTGTCTAATGCAGTGAGCCACAGCAGGGATTTCTGCAAGGGGCTGGCCAAATGCTTGAGGATCCCAGAGATGAATTTGAATGGGAGGGTTACCCTCTCCAAGTTTCAGTCTGCTGAGCCTTAGTTACTAGCAGAAAACCTTAGGGTCCTCCTGTTGTGGGTGTAGACACCATCAGAGTCAAGCCCAGCCCTTCTTAGGCCTATATAGGAAACAGGACGCTTATGCTCCCAGCCTGGGCATCTCAGTAAATTTTGAAGAGCTGTCATTTTTGCAAAGTGAACTCTCCATCTGAGATTGAGTTGCAGGCTGTCCAGCATAGTTTCTCCCTCCACTACTTGTGCATCAGCTTTTAGACACTAAAATGTCATTAGATTTGCAGACAACAGTCCCTTTTAGAAAGCAAGCCACAGGACAGTTCTGTTTCCCTTTTTCTCTGTTGCCCATTAAAGTTCTTCTTGCTAAAGAGTTCTTTAGTAAGAGTCTTTAAGAGCAATCCTTTAAAACAGAACAAAGTGCAGACACTTGTGAGGTAGAGGTAAAATATGAGAAACCTGGTGGGAAATTAGAGACTGCCGTTCTTGGTATTCAGCCCATTGCCATCACCCTGACCACTCTTCCCCAATACCACTTTGTCTGGAGCTCCAAAGTCCGTCTTTATCTCACCTGACTTCTGGTAAAACAATAACTCAGTGTGAAGAGATGGGGATCTCCAGCGGGGCTGCTCAGAGCGCCACGAGGTTCTTGAGGCGATTGCACGTGAACAATGCGGGGTGGATGTATCTTCTCCACCCCAGAGCTGTGTGAGGGTAAAGTACATCTCTCTGGATTCAGGAATGCATTGTGCGCTTCATATCCACCCAAACAATGTCCCACGAAGATGCTCAGAGGGCTGGAGCCCCTCTGCTACGGGGACAGGCTGGGAGAATTGGGCTTGTTCAGCCTGGAGAAGGCTCTGGGGAGACCTTATTGCAGCCTTCCAGTACCTGAAGGGCCTACAAGGGTGCTGGGGGGGGGACTTTTTACAAGGGCCTGTAGTGACAGGACAAGGGGGACTGGGTTTAAATTGAAAGTGGGGAGGTTTAGATTAGATATCAGGAAGAAATCCTTCCTGGAGAGGGTGCTGAGGCACTGGGACAGGTTGCTCAGAGATGTTGTGGATGCCCCATCCCTGGAAGTGTCCAAGGCCAGGCTGGATGAGGCTTGGAGCAACCTGGTCTAGTGGAAGATGTTCCTGCCCATGGCAGGGGGGTTGGAACTGGATGGTCTTTAAGGTCCCTTCCAACCCAAACCATTCTGTGATTCTATGACGTGGCCCTGGGGAAGGAGGCCGGGAATAGGGCTCTTCCTCCTGCTTCTGACTCTGCTCCCAAGCTCTTAATACACTGAACAAAGGAAGGGAAATACAGGAAATTGTCCCTGAATAGAAGGGGTTTTCTTTTTATGTAGCATGGCCTATCTTTGTCCTTGACTATTTTTAACTCTGGGCGCAATTCTTGGCTCTTTTACATCATCTCTGCAGCATTGGGTGTTTGCCGACTTGGCAGACCCACCATCAGCCTCTACAGCGGGGATCAATGCTCAGCAGCTCCAGTGAGTTGTGTTGTTATTTCTCTTGTTCTGACTCCTATATATTTATTTTCTTGCATTTGCTAGGGATGTTGTACCAAAGGATGGTCATTTCTGAGCAAAGTCTCAAAAGCGACCCGTACCCTTATCAGGAAAAGTGAGTAGCAGCTCTTCGAATGTGGTGTTGCTTTTATTTCTTCTGCAGTCTCATAGTGAAATCTGTCCTTTTCCTATGCTCTGAATTAATGTAGGATGGAACAGACAATTTGGTCATAAACCATGTGGCAGTACGTGGTTTTGGGGACACAATTTGGTGGCGTCCAGAGCCTTGCTAAAATGAGCTGCGCGATGGGAGGAGCACGTTCCTCCCACGTGTGCCAATTTATTTCTGCAGTGCTAGGAGGCAGGGAGCTTCCCTTGGTGGGGAAACAGGGGAGAGAAGGAGAATATCAGTAGCAAACCTTCTTCTGTGCATGGGATAATGGAGTCATGAGCTGCTCAAGCCAGCCCTGACGTCAGTAATGGGGAATCCTCATGTCATGTCATGTCGTGTCGTGTCATGTCATGTCATGTCATGTCATGTCAT